AAGGTGAAGCACAGAGATGTATTTGTAACAGAAACTCAAAGAAAGTCCAAAATGTTTTAGGTCATGGACATTGCTCAGGGCTGGCATCTCACCTTTTCTGAGGTGATCCAGGAGACTGCAGAACAAGGAGAGTTTGTGTTTGTGAGGCTCGGCTCTGCATGGGAAGTGCCTGGAGCCTTCTCAGTGATTGATGCCCACTGATACAGACAGTAAATAAAAAATGATTTGCTGAAAATCTGTATACTAAAATGCAGTTAGAGGACTAGACCTCTGTAGACTTTTGGGGTAGTTTTGATTAAAAAAATATTGGGGAATGGTTTTGGTTTTGTTTTTTTCTGCATTTACAGGTAAATAAGATAAAGCTAAACATACAATTCACCTGAGAGTTTTAACCTTCAAAAAAAAGATACTATCTGTAGAAAACAATTTCATTGAAGTTTTTGCTTGCAGCTATTGGAAAGCTGTTAGGAACTCCAGCAAAACTAAAATGGAGCATGGAGAGATGGGTTAATAAATATGCTGCAAATCAATAGGCTTTACAATAACAGGAGGATGCAGTTTCCACATTAACACCCACCCCTCGTGTGAACAAGCAGAGTGAATGTTGCGTGTATGGGGGAAATCGAAGATGAAGGTATTTTGCGTTTTTTATAACATGTTAATGAAAATAGCACAATAATTGTTCCCGATAGCAGGTGAGTGTAGCAAACAGGACAAAAAGCAATGGCTGTTGTGTTTAGAATTTCCAGAATAGTGAACGATAGAAAGGACACTAATATCTTGCCTGTTTCTGTTTTGTCAAATAACCTTCAGTCTTAGTGCCAAGAAAGGGGTTTTGTCACATCTGTTCCCATTTAATGCAAACAATAAGCATCTTTCATTGACAAATATTCCTACAAAATTTCTAATAATAATGAAATTGAAGATTATATAAAGCAGTTCATAGGAAATATATTTAAGTAGAATAGAATTTGAGATTATACATATATCTTTAAATCTAAAATGCATAATTCTATGGTTCACACAGAGCAAAGCAAATTTTATTCTATTTGTTCTCCTCCTTTCTTGAAGAAAGGAAATATTCTTGAATATTTTATATAATATTGAAGATATAAAGGTGAATTTTAGTTCTCAGAAAATGGCTGTTGGATGGCTGAGATTCAATATTAATCCAATATGTTCCTAATTTAGGTTTCTTTTTTAATAATTTTGATTTTATTTTTTGTTTTGCTTTGATCGCATTTTGGAAAACATTAGTGAACTGTTACATTTGGTTAACATAGCCTCTGTGGTCCACATGCAATTTTACTGCTGATCGGTTTCTACTGACTGGAGTATATAATTACACAGCAGTTTTGAAATCTGCCTCCATGTCCAAACATCTGACCGAATTCACATGTGAAGCTTTATAAATTGCCTTTGAAAATCTTGGCTCTTGTAGCTTTAAAATCCAAGTGGAAATTGTTTTAGAGCTTTTGCAAGATACATAATACTTCCATTTTTGGTAGAATATTGTTTTTCATAACATTTGGCAATTCCAGGTTCCTTATTGGCCAAACTGTGGAATCAAAATTAACGCATTCATATATTTAAGAAAACCTTACAGGATCATTGCACTTTTGGCAATGAAATTGTAGCTTGGTAGAGTTGTCTTTTTTGGAATTAGTGACTGTGCATCACTGTTATCTCCTTTTAACAGAGATAAAATTTGATTAAGCTGAAGGAGATTTGGAGGCACTTGCATTTTTCAGAGAGATACTCACTCCTATTTGGTCCAAGAAAATGAATAATAAAATCACTACGTTCCTTGTCGATCTAGGGGTTAAGTGAAGAGTTAGTAATAATTTCTATAAATCTCTGATGAGTATGATGCTTATATAGATACAAAGACCTTTCAGTCTGTGATCATAAAAGCTGCTGATGTGATGCAGAAGGAATGCATACTCTTACCACCTTTTTTTTCCAGATCTGGTCTCTACAAAATCCCATGTAGGTTTACTATGGTTGATTGGTTAGTTGGGTTTTTTAAATCCCCAAATAAAAAGTAAAAATATATTTGTGTGGGACATCTCCTACAAACTGGTTATTTTCAACTTTGCTCAGTGCACCACTTTTTTCCAAGGTGAAGAAAAGCCAGTGAGAAGCTTGCAGATGAGTGAAAAATAAGCCTATTTGTCTTATTTAGAATCTAGTTGATTTGTAAGCAACTAAATGTGCTTACTTTTGTGACCTTTCCTCTGTTATGTCAAATTCTTGTCATAACCTTGTTCTACTTAACAAGGAAGGCCTGGAATAAGTAAAAAGCAAAACCAAAAAATTCCTTCCTCATCTTCCAGTAATCTATGCCATGGAAATTTACACCAAAGGTGCCCTGTTTGTGTTTATTAACCCTTAATGGATTCTTAGTTCCATCAAATTTGGCCTATAGCTTTCTAACATATACCAACTTCTAATTTATTCACACTTTCAGCTTTGTTTCTGCATGGTGTGAAAGCGAACCTCTTCTTGTCTGTCCTGAACCTTGCCTGGGGTAGTTTCGTTTGATACCATCTTGTATTAGAAGTGAAGTCAGTGTTTGTACCTTAGACATCATCTTGCTGCTCCTGATTTTGTAGTCTTGTATCTGGCTTGCAGACCAAGCAGACCTGGTCAATTTAGCTTTTTCTTGCACCAAACTTGTGTCACACTTTGTATCATCTCACTTATCTTTCTCTTATCCCTTTTTAATTTCTTTTATATCTCTTTTTAAAATTGGAAGAACAGAACTGCACAGTGTTCATTGTAGCGTGTCTCATGAGTTAATAAAATCTGTGATTTATGGAGATGCTCTGTCCTCCCTTCTTTTCCTAGTAATTTCTAGCCTTCTATTTACATTCTAAACTAACTTATCTGATGTTTTTATAGTATTATCCTAACCCCAAGATCTTGTTTCTGGATTATGTTGGTTCTGAGTCCATCTATTTACGAGTATGTTGAATGCTACAAGTCCTAAGGATACTTTTAACTCTTCAAAAGGAAATTGCTAGGTGAGAAGCTGTAGAATTTGAGATGTGGGAAAGTTAACAAATGCTTTAGTGTGTATGAACAGTGTCGATTTCTTCACATGATTTTGTCTCCATGTTTCACAGGGCAATTTTAATTAAAAAACATTACACTGATATCCAGCATACAATAAAAATATGTTACAGATAGAACATGCCTGCTATTAAGTATTGCAATGAAGTAAGCTACCAATGAGAATAACACTAGGATGATATTTTGCCACAATAAGTCTTGCATTTTTTCTTAATAGCAAGAATCTCTACCCCCCCCCATACCTCCTAAATAGAGACAGTTTAGTGGTATAAAAAAATTGGCATTGCTGAATGAAAAATGGGAGCAGCAAATGCACTCAAGACTTTTGGTTTACAACTAGTTTAACAAATGGGGAAGCGTAGAGAGGTTAAGTAGTAGGAGTGATGAAAGATTTATTGTACTCACTTTATCTTGAAAGATTAATAGAATAGAATCAGGAGGCCTACTAGAGTTTTAATGAATTAGACATGAAGTGCTTAATCTGCAAGTACTAATTCAGTGAAAATATCACCATATTCACAGAAAGAGGTAAACAGACCTACAGATCCTCTCTGCTCCTTTGAGATTGGGAAAGGACATGTGTTGATATGATGCAACCTTTATAGGAAGGAATGTCGGATGTGAGATGATGTTGCTAACCAGGACTGGAATCTAAAGGTTTACATTTTTGTGGTGTGAAAAAAGCTGAGCAAAGACTGTTTCCCACTCCCCCACCCATCAGAAAGACCTGTATTGATCACTTGGAAGTGCCAGCCATTCTCAAAGCTGTTTGTTTTTTTTTTTAAGTTCTCTCTTCTCTGTTTCTTGAATAGTTTGCCGCCTCCTTCTCTATAGACACTTCTACTTCTTTTGATTTTCAAACTGTGACTAGTGCTGCTTTTCCATATTGCATGAGAACTCCAGAGTAAGTCCCATCATAAGCTGCCTTCCTCTCATAGTTCAATTCCTTGTGTGCTTTCCTTATTACTTGCTTGTCCTTCACCCCCATTAGATGATTGATTTAAGTCTTTAACTCAGCCTCAAAATGCCTGTGCCTCCTCCACTCAGAGCCAGACTTAATCTTCCCTTTATGTTTGGAGTCCACGTGAGCTTTATCATTATATTTTTCTTGTAACCTTTCCACAAAGGGAGATTTTGTTCCACCGTAAGGTCTTATGTTGTTGTTCTAATTGGTATGGCTGACTTAATAATATCCCAAGGTTCAGGGTCATACAGTGCTAAGCACATTGCAGAAATGTGCAGTAATGACAAAATCAGTGTCTGTTGCAGTTATTACAGCCTTTTGACGGTAGGTCTCCCACATTAGATTCTGAGGTTGCAATTATCTTTCCTTTTCTTACTTCTGTTTATCTACCTATATGGCATTCATTATTGCCATATAAGCTCACCTTATAATGGGAACTTTTTGGGATGGTTTTTATGTAATTATGAAGATCACAGGCTCAGTAGTAGGATGATGTTTAATTAAAATAATTGGTGAACTTGTGCAAAACTTATTTTTGACAGTTTTTGAGGACTATTTCATACTAATTATTGTTGATCATTTATAGAATAGTTTTCTGCTAGAAGTTGGCACATACTTTGAAGTCTGTGTTGTAAAGAAATATTTATTCATTCCCAGTTACTGAATTCCTTTTGTAGGGCTAAGGCAGCTATACAGTGTGACTAGTCTAGGGTCCTGTGCAAGCCCAACTAGTCTGAATTTTAGGAAGGAGTGCGCTATTCCTGACACTACACTTTTAAAATTAGTTTTTCTCTCCAACTACTGACATAAGATTCCATATATAGGAAGAAGCCTTCAGGAAATAAAAGAAGAGTTAATGCTACTTGGGTCTAATAACAGCAGCTGCTGACTGGCTGAAGCCAAGTGTATCTAATACCTACGTTCAAAGAAAGGAGTTCATTATGTTCTTGTGTGTCTCTAGGAATCCGGAAAGACCGCAGAGGTGGGCGAATGATGAAACAAAAACGTCAAAGAGAGGAGCAAGATTCCAGGAACGGTGAGGCTTCTTCTACAGAGCTGCGAGCTCCCACACTTTGGACAAGTCCACTGGTGATTAAACATAACAAGAAGAACAGTCCAGCCCTGTCCCTGACGGCAGAACAGATGGTCAGTGCCTTGCTGGAAGCTGAGCCACCCATAGTATATTCCGAATATGACCCAAATAGACCATTCAATGAAGCCTCTATGATGACCCTGTTGACCAACCTTGCAGACAGAGAATTAGTGCACATGATCAACTGGGCAAAGAGAGTTCCAGGTAAGGAAAAAAAAAAAAGCCCCAGTGAACTATAAAAGCCTCTACATGACAAACCAATAGAAAAAGACATACTGGTTTTCACACTGCATATTCTGATTTCATGCAAATTGTTCTCTTAAGTATAAATAATAAAAAAAGTCACAAAGTTTATGTTATATTGGTTGATAAAACTACAGTGCAATGTAAATGACTTTTAAAGAAAGGCTTATTCAAGAAAAGATATTTCCCCACACTGTAGAAAGTTGGACAATTTTTTTTATGGCAAATCTTTTTTTTTGGATAAAACCCAGTAAAATTAAAAGTAAAAACAGATTACTAAAAGCCAAATCTAATCAATTTGATCTAATTGAATTATGTTAATTATTTAGATCCTTTTTGAAAAAAGAAGTCTAAATGTGAGCCATAAATTCAACATCACTACTGAGCCCATAAATGTTAGTATTTTTTGTTTAATTGCCAGTTTATCTTTTTGACCATAAATTACAGATATTCCATGAGTTTGGGGTCTGAAAAACAGAGCCATAATAGCAATTTTTATATGTATTTTTTTTCCTACTGGAACTAGATGTTTTTATCTTTATCATTTTGGTGCGTCATGGTTGCTGAGCTACGACACCTCTTTTCTGGAAGGGAATTACAGAATTGTGGGAAGTGTGTAACATATTGGGTTGAATATATGTTATACATTCACTCATTCATGTAGTTTAATTAATTTATATCAATGAAACGAGGGAGTAGTTTTGTAATTAAAGTTCACCATCTTTAAAATTTCCATCTACAAGACTACTTTTCATAAGTTTATGTTTAAAGGTTTATTAGAAATTTATTGCACATGCTGTACTTTTAGCTTTGTAAAAATACCAGCATACATGGTAATTTACACTTTATAATTCACTGGGATTCTGATCTCTTAAATTTTTACTGTAGCCATTCATTTAATAAGAATTATGTAGCTGTTTTATGAAGGGATGTTAGAGAACACTGCCACAACTCTCACTCATATAACGCATTACCTCAACAACATTACACCCAGGTTATGCCATTTTTCTGTTTTCCTTCATTTAAACTTGGCAAGACTCTTCCTGGTAAATCAATAACCCATAAAATCTGAGTCTTTTCCAGTCCTCATGGGTTCCGTTTTTACCACTTTTCACATGTCACTCTGTGGGCTCCTGCTATGATCAATGAGAACCTGTGTGTGTTTCATTTCTCATCGTATCTTATAAGAAATCACCTGAGAATTTTATTCTTGACAAAGTCACAGTGGTTAAGGCCTGATCCACAGTCTGTTCAAGTCAAGGGCGGGTTCTCCTGTTAATTTAGGTATGCTTTGGATCATACCTTTAAAAAATGCTTTTGAAAAATGAACATATGTCCATAGCGCTAAAGCTATTCACAGCTAAATTTGAATGACTTTTCTGCTGGTATTAGAGATATAATTCATCAAAGTCTGTTATAATCCATTAATTTACATTCAACATGAATTCTAAATTCATTATGTTGTCCAACTGGAAACACTTGTCTTCTGTGACATTTGATTTTGATCGTTAACATAATTAATGAAAATGTGTTTAGATACAAAGCAACACTGTTAGGGAACTCAGATCTGTTTTTTGTTCAGAAATCTCTCGAAAACTGCTTGTCACAAGATGATTACATCTGGTGAAGATCAAAAAATATCTGGGTTACCAAATATATCTTTTATTTCCTAAGCAAGCTTCTGTAATTGGAAAATCAAATTTATAAGGTTATCAACTATTTGTGTGTATCCAATATGTTTTAAATTTAAATAAATGTGCCTGTTAATTCCCAAGATAGCTCCTAAGGAGAAACCAAGCCAAATGACTCTATGTATATGTGAATTTCAGTTAAAAAAAAACAGTGAATTTTGGTTAAAAAAAAAAAACCAACAACAAACCAAAATCCCTTCTCAGTCAAAGTTTAGCCTATTATGTGTACAAACAATCATGCCACAGGAAAGTCCTAAAACAGGAGAGGTAGCATATGAATAGTTTTGGGGATTCTGAAAGGGCTGGACACCTAGCTGGTTCTTGGTGTTGTGGCTTGGAGGACGGTATGCATGACCAAAAGCATACATTAAAAGTATTTTAGAAAGTTGATTTAAAAGAATTCAGGCTTAGTTGTTTACCTGTCTTTAAAATTGGGTCCTCTGAGAGTAGGAATTTTGGAACTAGGTGTTTACTTTTTTTTTTTTTTTTTTTTTTTTTTGATCTCTCATTTGGTCCCTAGAAAAGGTTGAATGTTCTTAATTGTTGATATTAAATCTTAGAAGTGCTGATCACCTTTCAAAGATAGGTCCTTTGCCTGGGCTGTTTGCCTAAGTTTCCTTCTGCTAAAATGTACTGGCAATAAATGTACATTAAGAGAAATGTGTCTGGCACTATAAGTCGTGTTTTCAACTCCACAGTATGTCGCCTTTGAATACTCCATTATTACTAGGAATTATGCAATACTGTTTAATTAGAGAGGACTTTCGTATACTTTATGCATAAACAGAGGAACTCAGTAACTTTTTTGTGTTAGGTGAAGTGTTTTGTGCAACAGCATTGTGGGATTCCACTCAGTTATTTTCTGAGCTAGTTTACTAAGGTTTCAAGCTGTGGAGTCCAGGGTAAGAACATCTTTTTCTAAAAAGCGAATGTGCTTTTTAGCAGTAGAAGAAAGCAGTTGCAGGAAACAGCCTCTCCTATGCACACGTTCAAGCCTTGAAGCATTGCCCAAATTCGTTTAGCTATATGCAGGCACTTAGCTGACAGAAAGCAAGGAGCAAAGTGATACAAGTGGCTGGGTTGAAAGCATATTTGTTGGGGGAGGAAGAAATTGATATTAGCAGAGCAGAAGTGCAATGAAGACACAGCTTGCAAACAAGTGTAAGGACTTCCAGGGACATGTTTGGAGTTGATTTTGCTATGTAGGCTATAAAGAAGAGGGAGTGTGTCAAAGCAACTAGCAAAGACATTGTTTTGGTCAGCCAGTCTTTCTGATGATATAAATAGGTGGGCATGGAAGAACAAACAGCTAATTAGAAGATGTACTTTATAGAAGCAAATCTATTCTACAAAAAGGTGTAATGAAAATTAATTTATGATGGACTGTGTAGTATAATGTAGGCAGAGACCTGTTATAAAGACATGCTGAGGACAATCTCCAAAATGAGGTGAGTATCTTTGCAGACATGCCCTGTTTGGGAAAGTGGGAACTGGCCTAAATCTTTATGGCAGCCTGTTCAGAATTAGTTCAAACTTGCTTAAATTGACTCTGCAGTCTTGGTGTTGTTAACAAATTGCTGGGGAAAAGAGAACTTGTGGCAGCTTCTTGTGCATAACCTTAAAAAATGATCTTCAATATTCAAGTAGGACATGATTGTTAACTGAGGTCATAGCAAAGTTCTCCCATGACAATGCAATTCATAACATGCCAAGTGCATAAAAGCTTGTTTTAATTTTCCTTTGAAACTTTGGCCACTGCTACAAGTGGGTTTGCCAGGTTGCATGAACAAAAATCTTGCACAGTGTCCTAGGACATATATAAAAAATTCAGAATGCCCCACAGGACTTGTTCTTTATGTGGCCTAATGGGGATTTTGGCTTAAGTCCTCCCAGCTGGCCTCTGTAAGGCGCCAGTGGTGCCTTCTGATTACCCCAGCCAGCTGGGGTGGCAAGCAGCTGTGCGTAAGGTGGGTGCAAACAGATTGTGATGGGCTAGACTTTACATGCACGTGTAAACTGAGCCTTTACCATTTCACTGGGACAAGTCACTACAAATCAGCTCATACATGTTCAGCTCATTTCTGAATCATGAATCCCTGCATGAATTCCTGAAGGATACGGCTTTCTATTTTCTTCTTGGTTTACATAACATCTTGGGGATATAGTATCACCTTCCGTATCATAGAATGAGAATTTTCACCACGTTTTTTGATGCAATGAGCAAAACCAATATTTCGCTTTTCTACAGAAATGCTAATATGTCAAAAGAACTAACTTATTGTATTTCATTATTCACTTACTGTGTATATCTCTTAATATCTATATTTGGGCTACTGTATTCCCTAAATAAAGCTGGTGTTTTCAATGCAATTGTCAATAATTTTTTTTGTGCAGAAACTTTTGAGATGCTAAAAGACATTACCAGCTTATACAGCGAGCTCATGGTAAAGAGTGTAGCTTTAAGGAAACTTTGTTGCAAGGGTGAAATCTTTGGCACTGCTGCTGCAACCTTGTATAACTATTTACTACAAGTACAGTAGCTGTACAACTTAATAGCCCTAAAATGGTACACTGGGCATACAAGCTTTGAAGTTTTGAGATGATTCACGGTGCTGTACTTATTTTATGGCTTCATGAACCGAGGAGATAAACATTTTGGCACTGATTTTTTGATTTCAAAGCCACAGAAGTTGCTATTTTCTTAAGATATTGTTTTCCTATTTGACCTTCTAAACTGCTCTGTTTGTTAAATTAGGAACAGTGTGTAAAAAGGCTGACAATAGCCACAATTTTACACTGCACTTCAGTGACACCAAACCTTGGAAAAAAAAAAGTCAGCTTGCAGTGGAAGGACAGAAGTCTTATATGAGAGTGGTGTGTGTTAATAACCTTTTAGGTGCCAGTTAGTTTACAGAGCTTCTAAGTGTAGTGATCTTCCTGGTAATAATTTACACTTAGCTTAAAAAAAAAAAAAAAAAAAGGAATGGCTTGCAATTCTGTAATTTTTTTTTTAACAAAATTTCCAAAATATCTGCTTTATAGTCTCTTCTCCTTTGACTAATGGGCTTGCTGTGGAGATTTGTAAAATGTTATTAAAGAGACCACCTCTCTGCTTATCTGTTTAATCTGTTGAAATGATACTCTAACTGCTCTCCTGACTTCATAAGGGAAAAACAGAGGAAGAAAATAGATCTGTAAGCTAAAAAGAAATGATAACAAACATCTGGATCTTATTTTATGGCTGCTTTTTGCTAATTTAATTTCTGTGAA